TAGAGGACAGTTTAGTGCTTCTTAACGAACTTTCACTAGGTTTTTCAGCTGGTCGTCGTTTGATGCGATTACCTGACATACAATTACTATTAAATAATCATTCGGTATGTGTTATGTTTTTTTTTTTTTTTTTTTTTTGATTATTTTGATAACATCGAATAAAAGATATCAAAAGGTAGGTTTTCTATATATAAATCTTGGTCAGATCTGTTAGTTGGGTGAAATGTGAATAAATGAAATGATATATCAGTATTTCGTATACAAACTATTAAGATTTAATGTTGGTGACAGAATATAAAAAGCAGCTTTAAATTTACAATCATCATTTTTAAGCAGTCCAAATGTTTAAGGATTAACACCAGTAAATCCATTCTAAATACAATTTCTATATTTGATTTTTGAACTGATAAGTGATTTTGATTTGTCATGTAAGTTTTGGTCGGGAATTTTTTTTTTATTTCTCAGCTTCTAATCGTTTTAATTTTCAGTGTGAGCATTTCTCGTTTTTGTCTTCGGAAGCTGATTTGATGACAATGCGATCACGAACAACATTTTATGCTTCGTTGATGCGGTTGTTATGTTTGGATTTAAATGACAATGATGCGACTTTCTATTCGTTCATGCAACCTTTGACAGGTTTCTTTCTGCTGTTTTTACTTCATTATAAAAAAGCATGATTTTTGGAATCAACTTTTATTCTGTGAGATTATTAATAGCTGGAATTAGTGGTATGTATTTTAGGACAAGCACAGAAAGTCTCAAGGTGTGAAAATTTTGAGCAGAATTTAAGTATTATAACTTAATATCTAATATGCATACAAGAGTAATAAAATCATTTCAAAGTGAACAAGTTTTTCACCAATATTTTTTGTTGAAGCGCTTTAATGTGCACTATTTGTTATTCCAACATGATTCACAGGTTACTTACGTTGTAGAAAATTGAATAAGGACGAAACAGTTTGAAAGATTTCAATTAACATCTTGATATTTTCTTGTATATTCGAGAATAGCTAAGCGCGAGTCACGGATATTAGTTTATTGTTATGCCGTACAGACAAACCTTATTGTGGATATTATTTAATCTCAAATGAAATTTTAGATGCTGTGCGAGAGATTTATGATGTTTTTGCGATGAGTGCACCAACCGTTGATCAGGAACGTGTTAAGGTTTGTACTAAATTTATATCAAATTTCTTACCAATAAGAAGTAAAGCCTTTGCTTTAATTTTGCTCCATTTATTTACTTGTTCAAATCTTCTGGAAATCAGAGTAAAATTGATTAATTTTGTATCGTAAGAATTGTTCCTAAAACATTCTCCCATCTCTGTGGTGTTTTGAAATGTAATTAAATATATTTGTTCATTGTGATTTTCTCGGGATATTTTGTAGCGTGCTGTTGTTGGTCTTTGTCGGGATCTTCGAGGAATCTCGACAGCATGTCATACGAAATATGTTTTTTCAATGTTATTTGACTGGATGTAAGTTTCAAAATATGATTTTTAATTTCTGAGTGAGTGATAGATAAAGTATAGCAGAAATAGACAGCTTATTAGTTACAGCGAAATGTTTTAAGCAGTTGCGCAGATGTTTGAATTGATCGTATAAAATGTTGCGAGATTTATGCAAGCAGAATTACTTGCTTTAGTGTTTAGTCTGAAACACGGTACCTAGTAATCCTTTAAATTAAGAGAAAAGATTTGAATCATATATGTTATCGATCGACTTATGAATCTCTTTCTTCCTTAAGTGACGCTGTTTTGATTATCGTTGCGCCACTGTACATAACTGTACATATTTTTTGATCTTCTAATATCTTTTTCTTTTTTCTTCCTTATGTATGCACCGCAACTTATGAAAAGTTAAAGTAAGGTTTAATATTAATATTATCGACAAGCAAATCGTCGTTTTTATGGTGCATACTTTCGAATTTTTCGTCACCTATTGCTATTTATTTCAGAACTTTTAAATGTTAACTTAGCTATTATAAACAAATAAAAATATATTGGGATCATATTTGGACAATTTCAAAAGTAAGAAAAATTAGCTACGATTAAGCTTGAATGGTGTGATATAAAGTATCTACATACATGCTACAAATGCACAAAGGTTTGAGTATCGTACAGATAGAACAGACCCGAAAGAAGTTCATTTTTTAATTTAAAGTTAAACGTTCTTTGATTGGCTTCCTATTTTACACCATTGACCTCTCTTAGTTTTTAAACGAGTTGGAAATATGATATACAGAGATTTGGTTGTTTTAGGTACCCAAATGTATTTTCAATTTTGGTTCGATCGGTAGATGTTTGGGCTGATTGTACGGAAGTCGTTAGTCCAATAATGAAATTGTTGGTAGAATTATGTCAAAATCGTCAACAGCGATTGCAGTTTGAGATGTCTTCTTGTAGTGCTGTATTGCTGTTTCGGGAAGTATCAAAAATTATCTGTACCTACGGTTAGTAAATGTTTTGCTGTGCACAGAGTTTTCATTAAAATTTTCAGTGCAAACCCAAAATTATTTCTCTTAGATATGGAAGAATACTGCACGGGTTTTTTTTAATGATTTTTTGCGATATTTTTAAAATAAGTGCTCACAATATAATTCCATCTACCATAATCTTTTTAGGTACTAGAATGTTAGCACTGCCTAAAGTAGTTCCTGAAAATGCCTATAAGCAAAGATATAAAAATATTGGTACTGTTTTTGCTATACTGAAAATGGCTTTAAGTGGTTCGTATATTCCATTTGGTGTATTTCGATTATATGGTGATACATGCCTCCAAGATGCCTTAGCAATGTTTGTAAAACTTCTCATGTATATACCAGAAGAGGAATTTTACGTAAGTTTTATAGAAAATACTAAATTCAACTTTAGTCTATGCATCCAATGTTTGGCTATAAATGTTGTTTATCGACTCTGAAAGATGCCTAATACTAAATCATTTCGTTTTGATTTAATTGGAAATTTTTTAAAAGTAGTTCAGTGATTGCGACTTTTAAATTGAACAAATATTCAAGAAGTTTACTATCATTAAAAGTACTTTTCAAAATTATTTATGAAACATGAGCTTTTACGTTTAATTCTTTTTATTACCCCTTTTGTTCTCAAGCGAATTTTCCCTCGTAATCATTGCTCTTATTTTTCCAGTCTTATTCGAAAATAATCCAGAATTTCCATGCGTTATTGGAATCTATTGCACAGGATAATATGTGCTTTTTATCGAATATTAAACCAGAAGTATTCACGGTTCTAATGCGGTATATCGAGCAGGCAACTGTTTCATTAGATGCTGTTGTTGTAAGTTTTTTCCTTTTTGCGAGAAATTATTTATTATTTATTTTCGTATTACTTTGTTTCAGTCAAAAATTTGTCTGGGATTTTCTAATCAGTTTTTTTTTTTTTTTTTTTTTTTGAATTTTTGCAAAAATTTGGTCTAGAAATGAACTGAAACACAAACAGAAGAACCCAGAATTAAGCAGACAGATCTGTTTCCTATGATTGATTTGGTTTTGAATCGTTTTTAGGTTATTTGATTTGTTTCGTTTTAAATTCTTTACTTCAGGTGACTGCGTCTTGCTCAACCCTGGATTTAATATTGAATTATCTTTATCGTCGTTTAACACGCGCAGCTCCACCTAGAGCTCATGTTGGCGCTGAGACAGAAGGAGAAAATTGTATACGTGCTCTTGAGGCTCAACCATCTTTACTACCTCAGGTTAATTGGCCTTATTTTATTAAAGTGCTGAAATTTGCTGAATATTTGCCATTTTCATGCCATTTCTTACAAATACTGCACTTAATCTTATTAAGTGATCTTACGATCAATTTTATCATAAACTGTTATAAACTTGCGTATTTAAGATGTTATCCACGATATTGAATGCCTCGTTGTTCGAGGATGTCAAATGTCAGTGGTCACTGTCACGGCCATTACTTGGTTTGATTTTATTGCAAGAAGAGTGCTTCCAGCAATGGAAAATGGAATTATTGGCGAATCAACCGCAGGATAAACGTGCCGCATTTGAAGAGGTTGAATTTTTTTTCTCGCAATATTTCTTGATATCATCCGGAAACATAGCAATTTTACATGGATCGTGGGTTGGATTCATTGTAAAATGAATGAGATACTTAGCGTATATGTAGTAGACACATCTAATTATGGTTTAGCGAAATAATGAGATAACATCCAACAACATTTTACCAAGAATACATTTTATGTATACAAATTGTGACTATTTGATTGTCTTTGTTGTCATTTCAAACTATCACCTTAACATGCTGATGACGGTGTTGTTATGACGTCGATGCTTCTTAAACGTAAGTATTTTTGTGTCTGTCTTCTATTTTGGGAAACCGAAATTTACTGATTTCATTTTTTAAGGCCTTCACATCTCTAATGGACGGTGTTGAAAGAAATGTTAGCACTCGAAACAAGGATACTTTCACACAAAATATGAATATGTTTCGAAAGACGGTAAGTATCTAGATGTACCTAATGCAATACCTAACAAAGTCACCAATTTAGGTTTTGTTCGGCTGAATCTTTTAATGAATTGAGATAGTTGGCTGAGTGAGATTCTGTCAAAGAATTTTTGCTCACTCATTTTTTTCATTTTAGGTATTTCTAACTTTTAGATCTGCAGATATGAATATGATTTGGTTTTTTTCTTTTAAATCACTTTGCACTATAGTCATTTCGATTTACCTTTTGGTTTACTTAATTTTTTTCTAATTTTTTTCTTTCACATTAAATCAAAGAGGATGTGTATTTGTATCATATAAAACCATTTTTTAAATTCAGATCCAGGAAATAATCAAAGGTGACGTTATGTCAGCAGTACAACCAGTCCCAGTTGCTGATATGATGTCGTAGTAATTTCGATCATTCCTTTCTATCACTGCTGATAAGTGAGAATTGTTGCTAAACTTATTTGTGGTTATGGAGATGTTGATGTTGCTCCAATGATGCGTTTATATGTGCTGTTTCAGTGGATATCTTTCATGATGTTTATGCTTCTCGTATATCTCATATCAAATGATTATGCTGTTGGGTGATTATTGTTTCTATTTGTAGACATGTAGACATAATTCTATAGTAAATTCAATGGAAATTGTAAAAATAAGTTTCTGAATTAATTTTGAATGCCTTACTATTATTTCTGTCACCAGATGGTCTTTTAGGCATATCAGTATTTTAAAGGGTACTCATATATTGCAAGTTATTTTTCCAACAAATTTATTAAATTCTTCTGTTTTGTCAAATTAAAATTCTTTCAATGAATTGGGATTTTTTTTTTTTTTTTTTCTTGAATAATGTTTATAATTTAGTTCCAGTATTGGGGGCTGTCCAGAAAATACATTCTGATTCCTCGCTTTCATGGCTGAATACCATATATCGGACTTTTTTTTTGTAAACGAAAGAAAGTGTGTTTAGTGTTTGCTTTGTACGGGTTATTTTAGAATGTGCATTTTGGATTCATATATTTTTATCCTGTTTATCTCTTTGTAGTTGTCCACAACACTGATTACATTTTAGACTTTTTCGTTAACTTATCCTTGATGTAGAAGTATGATGTCCAAAAAATTGACTTATTAATTGCCTTTATTGAGGAAAAAGTGACATGCATACTATTTTAAAATGCATATTTACATCGCAGAACTTATTCGTTTTGCTGTTAAACAATAATATATTACACCAGGAACATTGGAAAAAAATTTGCTTGAAATCTGTCAATGTTTAATTGTAGTAGTATTTCATTTCCTGTAAAATTTTCTTAATTTTGTACAAATTCATCATCTGCAACAGTTTCCATTTTCTCTTATCGGTGGTAAATTGATTGTGCTAACAAATGATTAATCTTAGGCATGAATTTCCATTATCGAAGCCTAAAGCTAGACAGAAATGTTGAAGCTAAAATATATGTTAATATTTTTGTGTGTGTTTAGGTTCCGCTTTGCTTTTTGTTCATTTCTATTTTCTTTAAAGAACCGCTTTGGGCGGTAAACTGTTAGCTTTATCATCATTCATTCAATTATGTTCATCTCTGTTTATCCTATATGTAAGTGCTCAAAGTTTTGCTGAAAATTTCTGAAGATTCACGATGGTTGTGATGGTGGCACAATGCGCTTGCATCAATATTAGATCTACGCCTTTTCTACGAAATCTTTTGCCACCATACAGTGAATGAGGAGAAACATGTTAATACAACTGGATGCATAGCTGCTTGCGGTAAAAATGCGTTGCACTAAATGCTTCAAGGATGCAAAAAGCGATGAAGAGCACTTTCTGGCGCAAAATGTAAGCATTTATAATTTTGTAAATCTGAAACTATGAGTGGTAACATAAGCTATAAATCCACAGAAAAAAAAAAAGTCTTCCGGATGTTCATAGGTCTGATGCATTTATTAGCCGTATATGCTCTCAGTGGGCCAGTGATGGATGCATTAATGTCAGTTTTTAAATTTGATAATTTCAAGCGCTGCATATTCAATCAATTTGAATGTTTCTTTTTGTTTCCCTTCCATTCCTTATTGCTTATGTATCGTTTTCCTTGTACAATTGGCTTCCTGTACAATTTACTTTATTTTTTAATTTCACTGATTTTGTTCCTTCCGTTATTTCACCGATGTTTGTTTATCTGTAGCATTAAAAAATTCAAATATACACCGTTCGTGCTGTTTAACTTTTTTTTTGGAGCATCCAAAAATGTGACTGACTTCTTTATTAACAATTGAATTCCATTTCGAGAGTAGTGATTTGCGTGATTTTGAAGTATTGAGAAGGTAGTAGTGTTTTCACTTCATGTACTATTGCTTAAGAGAAGTGAACTATCACTGTTTACTAGCAAAGGATAAAAGAAATATGCTGGGTTATTCAATGGATGGTATTCTGTTTGCAATAATTTGGTTTGATGAAGTAATTATTATTAAATTTTAAAACTACGGATAGACTGGATTTTGAAAAATGAGTTTTGCTATGACTTATTCACTCTTAAAATTGTTTCCAAAATATAAAGCCTGATAACTTTGGTAATTGTTGTTCGTTGCTAAACATTCACGTCATTCACGTACGACTTATATTTGACTTATTAGAAGTCGCATTATGATTGCTAAGAAGAGTTATGAAATATTCACAAAGCAAGCAGAAAAGCAATTAAAGCATATTTATACTATTCTAATCACTTCTATCTCATCTACTGATTATTTCGGTCAGTTAAGGAATCAGTGATGCCGATGCTCTCATATATGCAGCATACATTTTAATAACATTTATTGTCATTTTAATTGAATTTTTCATAGGAAAACTTTAACAAAACAACTATCATGTCTGTCCAATGATCTGTCATAAGAATAAATGCATATAACGAATTTCTTTCCCTCCTAACTCCTCCGATTATAAACAGAGACTTTGACGATTCCCTGATGTTTCTCTCCGATTGCATACTGCAAGTGCATGTCACCTATCCTTCCTGCACTTTACTCCACAATTAATGGAACGCATTTAATGCTTTAATGTAGAATCTCATATTCTTCGCATATATGTGTGTATGTGTATGTGTGTGTGTGTGTGTGTGTGTGTGTGTGTATGTATGTATGTATGTATGTATGTATGTATGTATGTATGTATGTATGTATGTATGTATGTATGTATGTATGTATGCCTTTAACAATAACAAATAACAACGTTAAATAAAATGCAGGAGACACTGAAAGTGCTGTTATTGCATTGTGAGAAGTGTTTGGGTTGCTTCATCGATTCCTCAAATTTTTTTAGAAATGTTATTTAGAGGCACCTTCACATCGATTTTCTCGTATTCCGTCACATTCCCCGTATGAGACACTCTCATATAATCGTTGCGTACACGTTTTTAAAGCGTAACACACGCATACATCCCGTCACATTCACGTCATTGAAATGTAACATACCATATATTGTTATGTTTACATCATGTAATGCAGAACATTGGTCTATCCTTTTATCTTAGTTTCTGTAATATGAAATATAGTTCACAGTATCAAGTATTTCAGAATAAATAAAATTAAATATATGTATATATATATATATATATTTATTTATTTATTTATTTATTTATTAAATTAATAAAAAACAAAAACATTGCTATATTATTACAATTTTTTCATTCCTCTTGTTTGTCAGTTAAATTCGGTTTTTTTTTTTTTTTTTTTTTCTCTTCTTTTTCTCATTTTAGAAACAATCAATAATTGGTTAAAAAGTTTGTTTACTAAAATTGAAAATTTTTGTTTTCATTCTTTTATTTGAAATTGAAATTTTTTGCTTTTTTAAACAGTTTTTATAATTGATCTGGTCTTTTTGAGGTGTCCATTTTGTATGACCGGATCCGGAACAGTGCACTGTAGCTATAATCATTAGAGAAAGAAAAAGGAAGATGGATGAATGGGTAGAAAAGTTAATATTTAGCGAACTTGCAATATTGACCTATAAAAGATGCAAATGTACTTATTCGGTTTATTCGACATTAATTAAGATATTTCAATTTATTTATTTATTTAACATGCTTGCTCATTTAATTAATTGCTTATTTCATATTTGTCACTTCAATATTATTATTATTATTAATTAGTTTATTTATTTACTATCATTATTTGTTAATTGCTATTATCGTTAATTAATTAGTATTACCATTATTAATTGTCCTTATCATCATTGTTATTGCTATTATTATTGCTGTTGTTATTATCATCAAAATATTATTAATTTATAGAAATAAGTTCGAACGATAATATTTCTTTAATTTATTAATCATACATATTGGTGATAAAATTAATTTCAATTCATTTTTTCATTACAGTTAAAAGAATTATGAGTTTATGATAATTAATTTCATTCCAATTATTGCTAAAGTTGCTAGGCAACAACATAAAAGTTGACAAGAATATGTGATATGTCCCATTTTCCAAAACAACAGGTATTATTTAATGTCACTGTTATCATTATAAATTATTTTTTTTACAATATTTACTTAGTATTATTTAACTATTGATTATTACTATTTATTATTGTATTATACTATTATTATTACTATTTATTATATAAATTTTTTCCTGATTTCTTCATTTTGTTAGCTTTTTCCTTCTGCACTTTTATTATTATCTTAATGAAGATGAAAAATTTTAATTCGAAACATTTATGCTACTGTAAACTTTTTCCAGTAATTTTCTAGAATGAACTCTGGGAGGAAATTTGAAGTAATTCTTTTAAATATATTTTTAAAAGTTATTAAAGCTGCTGAAGAAAAATAGACAGAACTTTGATTTAGAGTAAAAGGGTAATAGAAGTTCTAATTTCTTCAATATTATTTAAGATTCGGATTAATGTTTAATTAATTTCAGTTTGCTTTGACGTTTATTATTTCTTTTTAATAATATATCTCTTTTGTTCCCTATTTTACAATATTCTACTTTGAACTTTTTGAATAATTTTGAATAAAAAAATAATTTTACAATGTTTGTTGACAATGCGAGACTACTGATAATGTAAAAGTTTATCGATTTATTATCATATGCTTGTATACATGTAGTATACTTCAATATAATTTATTAATGTTTTTAACCTTTGACCTGTTATAAATACTTACTGCTTGTCTATTATCTCTCCTGTCAGTTACAGTTACAAATGAATAACTACCAATTTAATACATAATATTATTGAAATTTAGACATTATGTTTTTTTTAAATAGTTTGATTTATTGGTTATTTAATCTTTTAAATGTAAAATGTTTTCTTTCCGGATTATTTTTATAGTAATATTTTTTTCAGGAATGGGTTCATCATCAATTGGTTCATTACGGTTTATTTCACTATTCCTATTCCTTTCCGGTTGTTTCTCTCTGGAATGGGATGTATCAAATTTTCCGAATCCAACAGCTGGTGATTATAAACGATGTAATATGCGAACAACATCAAATATATGTGATCCAGATGAAATATTAACTGAATCACAGCGTTATCGATTAAATCATGAATTACATCAGTTGGAATCACGTACCCGACAGGTTTATTTCTTTTTTTTTTATAATCATCAATTTGGTTCGATAAATGAAAATAAATTCTAATATAAAGAAATTTCATAATTTTAACTATTATTCCATTTCATTCCTTTCATTAATGAAAATTTAAATTGATCAATGGAAATAAATTCCAATAGTTTAATTTTTTATTTCAATTTATATTTATATAAATTCCAATGTTCATTTATAGGATCATGCTCCTGACTTTTGTCAGAAAAAGGGAATTACAGCAGCAATGGCTATTGTTAAACATATTAAAGGAAATTCTGATGAGGTTAGTTAAGTTAATTCTCGATTTTGTATTAAGATTGTTGTCAACAGTGGTATTAGTATTAGTAATAGTAATAGAAAAGTTTATTTTCTGAATATCTAAAGATGATACTATTCTTTCCGAAATGTATTTCAGAGTTTTGTCCCTTATTGCTTCATTTTTTCTTTTTACTTTGTATCTCACAGTTTGACGAAGAATGACTCTTCTTCTGATATTTTCTTACTTTGAACTTATTTAAGGCATTTGATTTTATTTTTATTCATAACATTAAGATGAAAAAATAGAATTCATTATTGAAAAGAAGTGATTTTACATTAATTTACCATGAAATGAACGAATTTTGAAGGCTATCAAAGAAATGGCAAATCAAATTCTTCGAAAATGGACATTAGATGGTCAGTGTCATAAATCAGTCGTTTTTATGGTTGCAATCGATGATCGTCGATTTTGGGTAGCGCGTGATTCACGGGTTCCCGTGTATGCACAAGAATTTACTCAAATATTCAATTCTCAGGTAATTTATAAATTTTGCATTTTTCTTCCATGATATCTCTCTCACCTATGTTTGGCTTAAAAACGAATCGAGTATAGTTATTGAAACTCGTTGTGTTCTAAAAGTTAGCATGATGTTTCAGTCGTGAGGAATCCGAATTATTACTTTTCAATAGATCAGACTTTAAGATGATAAATAATAAAAGTTCCCTGATTACATTTTGAATTTTTATAGAAGATTTAAAATCATCGTTACCAAAGTTTACATATGGCAAAATTAAAAATCAAGCTGTAATCAATTTTATCGTTACTACGAGAATATAATGTGAGGATTGGAGTTGTATTTTTCTTTCTTTCTTAAAAAAAAAATAAAAA